GGGAAAAGTTTCTTCCCTACGTCGCTGGTTTGAAAGATTTTTTCAATTTTTTTGTTCGGCCTGCTCTCACAAAAAAGGATCAATTTAAGCTCATCAATAGACTTTTGATCACTCAGTTTGAGGATACTGTCCCAGTTGGGAATTGGATTGTCTGCAGAACAGGTGGGTGACCAAAGGCTCTTCAAAACCGTGGAAAAGAATTCTTGCCACGGCAGAAGAGCTGTCTCTTTCTGATCTCGTTTGAGCTGGTTCAAATGGGCAGACGTGAAAATTCTTTGCAAGTCAATCTTGTCCGACAAAATAACGAGGTGGCAAAGCAAAATTTGAAAATTTAGTCCGAAATTCCAATCGTAAAGATGGAGCAAATAGCGAACTGAAGCTGGTCAAACAAATTTGCATCACATCGATGGCTAAACTATACTACCGCTATGGAACAGTCTCTTCTGCAAAGACCTTAAACCTGCTTGCAGTGGCTGAAAACTACCGTATTCAAGGAAGGGCCGTTCTTCTGATCAAGCCCAAGCTAGACACTCGATTTGGGCTGCGTATCATCAAATCTAAAGTTGGGCTCGAATCTGCAGCGGACATCCTGCTTTCTTCAGAAGAAGGTGTCTTCCTTTCTGGAGATGGCAATGGAATCCCACATACAGATCGTGAAAATGGATCTTCATTTCTCCATCTGACGTCCCTAGAGGTTTTCCAGCATCCCACGGATCTTTTTTGTGTGCTGGTTGATGAGGCCCAGTTTCTTTCTCCCGTCCACATTGAAGAGCTTCGTGAAATCGCAACTAGCCATGGCATCCCGGTCATTTGCTACGGCCTTCGAACGGATTTCCGCTCTAGACTCTTCCCAGCTTCAAAGCGTCTATTTGAACTGGCTGATTCTATTGAAGAGATCAAGACCACATGCTACTATTGTGGACACTGTAAGGCGACATTATCCTTGAAGCATGTTGACGGGGTTGCCTCCCTGGAAGGACCCGCTATTCAGCTTGGATGCGAAGAGACCTACCATCCCGCTTGTTTCAAGTGCTACAAAGAAAAGATTATCCTCAGCAACCCAAAGAGTTATGCCAAGCGCACAGAGACGCATTCATATCTTGTTTTCCCCGACGAGCTTTGAGGCTCTTAGATTTGCCTGGTTTAAGTTTGGTCGATAAATTTTGTTTGAGTAAATACCGATCGCGTGGCGTTTAGTTGGTCCGATTTAAACAGATCCACATAAGCATGCTCTAGCTTTGTTAATAAGACAGAATGATATGCTATGGAGTTTTGGGCATTTTGCTGATTTAGAAATGCTTTGATAGCTGATGTCGCTGCTGATTTAGAAATGCTTTAATAGCTGATGTCGCTTGACACAAAGGCCAAGTAGCTATGATTGGAAGGTGTGCAATTCGGTATTTATTTGTTGATTTATTTCAAAAATTGTCCATCAAATGAAAAATGCTGGCTACAAAATCCATGGTCAGTCCAGAGCAATTTGATGTAGATGGTATGTTATGTTTACAAAGCGAGGAGATCGACGAGAGGAGTCTCTTCATGGACATATTGTTGGTGTCCCTTCTTCCGTGGATCCTTGGTTTGGCCGATATTTTTTTTGAGAGCTTGTCCGAAACAAATTTCAGCCAAAGGAGATTTGTTGATGGAAAGAATCCCTCCCAATTTGGGCGCGAAGCTTTGGGAAATCCAAGAATAGATCGCATGGCTCGATATACTCCATATTGGATGTCTACACGATCTAGGGATTTAGGCAAATTCGTCGACTACCATCGCCTGCGAAGATGCTCGGGTCAAGTTCCAGATCGGCATATAGGATTCCTTCATTTTTATCTAAATTAAGCTGAAACAAAAGGCACTTGGTTGCAGGCGTGAAAGCGAATAATCGATTATTGTGGCCTGAATCCCGCTGGATGCAAAATTTTCTGGTAATACCCCACTGAATTCGGAAGGCACAGGAATGAACATGGGTACTTTTTGACAAACCACCGCATCACGTTTGCTGCCATCGTTGTGATGATGTGGGTCGTCGCAGGATTGTATTAAAATATTGCCCAAATGAAGATCTCGATGCTCAAACGCATAATCCTACCGCCATGTTAGAGTTGTAATGGAAACCTTTTGCGCCACATAAAGAGCAAGCACCAATTGCGAAAAAAGGCTTTTCAATTGAGGAAGTGTTGTCAGAGGGAAATGGTCTAAATCGACGCCCCCATATTCCAAAAGCAAGATCATATAGTGCTGGTCATCCATAAACTGATCCAGGAGCGAGGGGGGAAGATTTTCAGAGCCGAATTTAGACTCGTAATCATGCCACGACCGCATTAAAATGGACGGATATGCCCCAGAAACCAAGGCTGCGCCATACAAGCGAATGAATCCATTCCAGATTGGGGGAAGTATATCTGGCGGGGATAAAGCTTGCGTGATAAGCAGCTCATGGAGGACGTCGCGCGGTCTGCTTCGGTATGGGATCTTCTCACCAGAATTGTGGTCAGGTTCTTCAGCATTATCATGATTAGTTATTTGCAAGTTGAGGGGGATTATTTTTAGAGCCATCTGAGACCCACCATCTACCCGTTCAATGGATGTACATTTGAAGACTTCGGAGTATGAGGACTCTCCGACCTTTTCAATTAGGTAGTGTTCCCTAACCCATTAAAAAAGCAAAGTACTTGAATTCTTCCATAAAAAAGTTAAAATCCAAAACATGCTCTTGGTCGCATGCATTCAACAAAAGCGTAGACAATAGAGGTGGTTCGTTCAAACACATCGGCTTCGTCGACACTTCGGGGCTAAAAACATTGGATATCTCTTTTGGAGGTGAAAGGTTTGAAATGTCTTTTGTCGTAGCTTTCGTAGCATCGGGATATCTCTTCAGCACTGGCTCTGCCTCGGGATATCTCTTCAGCACTGGCTCTGCCTCGGGTCTTTTCGCATTCGACAAAAATGTTGATTCCAGAAATGGATTCTCTTCCATCGAATTACTCAGACAAAAATTTTCCTTCAAAAAATTAGCAGAAGGAGATAACTCAATAGCATGTTCGGGGGAGAAAGCTTGTTGGCCCTTTAATAAGGGTTCGGATATCGAGAGCTTTTTGGCACTGCGGTTTTGAGGACAAGGCTCTAACGAAACAACAGCTGGCGAATTGGGTTCCCCTGAAATGGCCTTCGCCAGCTGAGTAACAACTTTTCTCTTTGCTTGACCTTTAGAAGTGGTCGCTCGTGATGGCCTACTAAGAGCATTTATTTGAACGGGGGAGGTAGTCGGTACCAGGTCAAATACATTCTGAGAGGCCATTTCAGCAGCGGATATTCCAGCACGAAGGTACTTCTGCAGACTTTTGAAAGGCGAAAAATGGACGTTCAAGTGGCAATTGGTTGTCTGATGCGGAAAGAAAGATGAGAGGCTAGCATTTGATTCTCTTCTTTTTTCTATTTTCGATGGAAGCGCAGCTGGCCGTCTTTTTTTGCGCCCATAGGTTTTCTTTACCGCAAATTGAGTCGGTAACCCGGTCGAATTTTCCGCCTCTGCAATCATCCGGCTGGAGGGTCTAAATTTTACTGAAAAGCAAACTTTCCACAAGTATGAATTTATTAAACGCAAGGCCGCTTTTCATCAATCACATCAATTAGGGATCGCAAAGGTCAAGAGTGTCAAGAAATGCAAACCCAGCCGAAACCCCGCCTTCATCTACGGAGAGTGATTTGGTTCTCAAGATATATCCGCCAATTCTTTCCTTGCTCATGTGGCCAGCATGGCTATCGGGTTATTGAGAAATGCTAACCTTATGAAGGAGGAAAATATTCCAAGCTCAGATGTGCACAGCTCTTCGTCCTCAGTGATCCCTTCTGAAATAAGTGTGGCTTGAAATCGGGCTTTTGGGGGAGGTATGATCCTTTCCATAAGAATATATTGGGCGAGATCGGCAGCCTGATTTGTCGAGATGATTTTCATAATCTCATCTCGAAAGAAAATATTATTGCCTTGAGATCAGAAAAAATCGAAATACCTCCGCCTTCCCTTTGTGGTTTTAGTACAAACTCGGCTTTTGGGGTTTTCTCCATAAACTCAACAGCCGCACACCTCCGTACTTCCGAATCTAGAGAAAAAAACTGCACAAATGTGGAGGCAAGCAAATGAGAGGAATCGCCAACAATCCTATATGGTTGTTTACCCAAATCCAGTTACCAATCCAATGGGAAGGAATCTTCGGCGATCATTTGTTGCACCTTTTTTGAACCTATAAACTGCAAGGCCAAGGAGGGACATTCGATGCAGTTGGACGCCTCGATGAGATCGCGGCCATTCCAGTCCTACGTTTAGGCGCTGATTAATACATCTACAGAATTGAAATTGCTTGGCGCATAGCCGGTTCTAAAATAGGCAACGGCTATGCAAGACCTACAAAGTCACGACAAGGAAAACCACACCCTTTGTAAATTAAATATCGATCTTTGGTCAAGGATCCCGATGTTCCCAATTCGGAGAGCGTTATCCTATGAGTTTGGATGCCCTTTTTCAAAAGTCGCTCACATATTTCCTGGTGCTCAAAAATATTTCTTTCATTTGGCAAAACGATCATAGCGAAAATGGGGGGAAAGGCCGAGTTTTCGCTGTTAAGCTCATTCCAAAGATTAAAGGCATCGCAAAAAGACTCAATATACAAATGACCACAGTTGGGCCTTTCACCTGCTCCATCAGCCCCATATAAAAATTCCCTCATAGACCAAAGCGAATCGGTTAACAAACCCATCCCGGTTGCAATGGTATTAAATTCAACGGTCTTCAGCTGTGGAGCAGACTCTCCACCCAGCAAATAGTCTGTCCTTGTCACGGCAAGGACTGGAATCTAAAAGACATCATTAACAGGGAGATGATGAAAACATTTTGGCGGTGCAACCTATGTGCTTTTTCGATTTCGTAGAGCCTGCTCATAAAGGCATCTCCAGGCGTTATACTAAAGTTATGAAGCTATAAAAACCTTATCATTAGGGCATCCAAGAAATATGATGAATAAATAGGCTCGGACAGTAAAAACTGGAATAGCCGATCCCAATAAGTTTGTAGTTTCAGGGCTAATAAATATTGGGATCTTGGGAAGGGAGATGGATGTTTAGTCATCGCGCAAGGCTTAGCATTATATGAGCGATCGAGAAAAAGAAAGTTGAATTTATTAGCGGAGGATAAAAAGTTCATCGTCCCCTTTTGGTATGTAAATGTCACAGTCTTTTATGAATGATGTGGCGATTCAAAGTCGAATTAAATTGAAGCGGCAAATATTTAAATTTTAATGGAAGAAAATGCTGGCTTGGAAATCGTTGCAGAACCCTCAAAAGAAGAATGTAAATTATGTCTTCAGAATGTCCCGCGATACCTAACTGCGAAAGAATTGACGCCAAAATTACAGGATCTCCTCAAGGAGTTCCAGCATGAGTATAAGGTGCAAAAGGACCCGAAAAAAGACACTTGTATCATGATCTTCCCTAGCCAGGGGAGTCTCAGCGATTTTCAAGATTTCATTTCAAACAAAAAGATTTTGTATCCAAAATGCAAGAAACCACTTTCGATTAACTCACTCACCAAACGAAAGCTGAACGTCGAGTCGGACGCCTTTTATTCGATATCCAAAAAGAACAGCTCCCTTCCAGAAAGCGAACGGATCCAAGATCAGGTAACAAAGTTCTGGCGATATCCATATTCGGAACAACTGGAGTTGAAAAAGAAAATGGCATCATCCGCTCTATCTCGGATTAACTATAGCCATGTTATTGAATATGTTGTTGCGTCCCCCGTCCTTACTGGATATAGAAACAAATGTGAATTTACTATCGGATTTGGGGGTGAATCCGGGAAAGACCCGATCGTGGGATTTACAATGGGCTCTTATATGGAGGAAAACTTGTCTGTATGTTCGCCAGACCCAATCCTGATTGTCCATCCCGGAATGAAGGCCTTCGTAGCGGCCTTCAACGAGTGGCTTATTTCCGCACATTACCAACAAGATAGAATCACGCCAGTGGATGCGTTATTTGCAGTTTATAATAGAATTACTCATTGTGGGTTTTGGAGGCTTCTGTTGCTGAGATTAATGGATGACGGAAAATGTTTGGGTTATCTTTTGGCGTAATTTTTAGTGATGGCCCTGATCTCGGTTACAAAACTTTCCAGCGATGCAAATTATCCTCTTAAAGGACTGGAGGAGTTTTGCAGATCTTTCAGTTGGGAGGGCCAGGATAATAAGAATGTTAGTGTTGCTTCTTTGTCTTATCAAGAAAGCTCAAGTCTCAGCTTGAATTTCGATTTTTCGAAGCCCCTAGTGAGCATATATGGTCCCAAATCGCTTCCAATGACCATTCTTGATTTTAAGTTTGAGGTTTCAATTGAAGCTTTTTTCCAAGCCAACGTATATGCCTCTGAAAAGCTGTTTACGCTTGCCGGGTCTTTTATTGCAGACGGTAGCGATGCCACAAGTAGCGTTCAAAAAAATAGGATACTTCTTGATCTTTGCTGCGGCTCTGGAACCATTGGAATTATTCTTTCAAGCTTTGCTGATCATGTTGTAGGGATTGAACTGATTGCTGAGGCCATCGAGGACGCAAAAAGAAATGCAGCGATAAATGGTATTTTATTTCTCATTTTCCTAGGCATTTCAGAAAAGTCGGAGTGGATCGCTGGACCCGTTGAAACGATTCTTCCAAAGGTTTTGTCTTCGCATTCAAAGTCTGATGAGTTCGTTGTTATCCTGGATCCTCCCAGAAATGGGGTCAAAAAGGAGGTCATTCATTCTCTGCGAAGCAATCCCCTGATCAAAAAGGTCATTTACATATCTTGTAAGGCCGATTTGGCCGCTGTTAATTTTGAGGAGTAAGCTGAAAACCGTTCATCATTTGACTAGTCTTTGTCGATCAACCTCCAAGAGATACCCAGGTGGTCCATTTTGCATAAAAAGGGCAATCCCGGTCGATTTATTTCCCCAGACAGATCATTACGAATTATTGCTTTTATTTGAGAGGAACTAATTTAACGTTTGCACCGTGGTTTGCACTTGCAGACTCGCTTCACGCCACCCGCATCAAATCACCGTAGCAATTAAACATTCGAATATCGAGAACCTTAAAATGCAGTTTGCATGAATTAATGCATGCCACCGTTGGGGAGAAAAAATTCATTACACGCCGTGAAAGATGGCGCTAAGGGTATGCCGTTGTTGCGATGTTACCATCTTAGGTTAATGAAAAGGTTGATATCATCCAAAGCGAAGGCCAAAGCCTAGCTCTGATGAAACATTTGATATCCACGTCGTTTTCCTGCATTGGGTACTTGAGGGATTTGTTTGAAGAGAAAAATTTTACCGATCACTTTTTGTGCGACCTGGCGCTGAAAAGACTTGCCCGTGGAATGTCGCCAGAAGCAGATACTTTTCTCGATTGGATTGAGCTTGGCATTTATGACGCCTTGGATAAAAAATACCTGCGTACAATATACCTTGGCATTTTCATCGATCCGGATGACCCGAAAAATGTTCTTGAATGGTATACTTTCAAGGTCGCCTATGCACCATTCAACAGTGACCATGTTGGTGCCGACATATCATCTCTATCGATCGAACAAAATGACAAGGAAATTTTGCACTTTAGCCAGAAGGAGATCGACTTTAAGCGCTCTGCCGTGCAGATTTTAAGGACCATGTGCATATTGACCCAAACGCTAAAGGTAATGATTTGTTTCTGTTCTAGTCCTTGCCCGCAATCAAATATTTAACCATCCGAATATATTACTACGAGGATCGGACGCCATCCTCATACCAACCGCCGTTGTTTCTTGATTGCCCAGATGAGATTTTTGTCAATTCCCGTGGCGCAGATTCTCTGAGATTTGATCTTGGGCAAGCAGCGACCCCATTCCATACGTATGTGTTGCCGATGTATTAGTTACCTACGTTAGAATATCTCTTAAAATTCAAACAAAGTCCGATTTGCTACCCAACGACGAGCATGGCAGCAAAAACACAAAAGAGTCGTTTCAAGCTGGGGCATGCCCCATATCGTCATCACAAAGCAATCTTCCGCACGCCCCTTGCAAGGAGTGGCCTGTGAAAGCCGATGATTTGGATTTTAACAATTTGGTATGCTCTCCAATCGAAACGATTTCGCCCCAAATGGACCGCTCTACCATTATGGATACCCAGCCTGTGATCCATTCGCCCCCGACATAAAACCCCCGACTGAGGCCGTTTTTTCATCGAGGCCATCGTGTGACTCTATACGTTGTCCGTGTGGTGCATCCGATTATGAAGAGCCCGATGTTGCCATGATATTCTGTGACAGTTGCAATACTTGGCAACATACGGTCTGCTGTGGATATTATAGCAACTCTGATAAGAGGATCCCAAGCCATGAAGGGTCCACTCATACTTGTTATAATTGCCAGCATAAAAAACGACCAAAGGTGCTGAAATTCTGTTCCGATTTATCGCTTGTCAGAAGAGCGTTGTTTATTTCCTTCAACCTGTCCATAACTGATCACATGGACTTGGCAACAAGACTTGGAACTACTTTCCAGAAATCTTCTCATATTTTAAAGAAATTGGCGAACGAAGGATTTTTGCTCAAGGTTCCTTCAAATGGAGCGATAACCAGGTTTTCGTATGAATGTATTAAGAGCAATGAGATCAAGAAAAAAATCAAATACTACTTTAGCGTAGACCTAGCAACATTTCCAGAGTATCATAAAGCTCTCGGTAAGCCTGTCCCAAGCCCGGCCCCGATATCAAGCTTGAAGCATTCGTTATTTGAGGAAAATCATTTCGCTTCCGATGGCTGCAGCAACGTTGATAGTTTCAGCAGACATGATATTTGCAGCAAAGATGAAAGTTGCCGAAAAGATGTCGCTTCTAGCAAAAGCCGGTCTATTGAGCCATTGTTGAAAAAGAAAAAGCAATCCAGCTCTACAGAAAACCCTATAAAGTGCTTTTTGAAAAATTAATAAATTTGCAATGATTTGTTGGCTTGTGTAGGGTTAGGGTTATGTTCTGTGGCAGGCATAATGGAGTTGCATTGTTGCAGTTTGGGTCAACTTTTATGGTGCTCGGAATTTATAGCAGGGCGCTCTCTACTCATCGGAAGCCGCTCTCGTTCTTAAAATACTACAAACGCAGCAAATTTAACGACCTTCAAAATCCGTATCCATCAATCGTTGAACTCAAACAAGCGGTCGACTATTTTACGGATTTAACCAGCCTATCTCAAGCTAAACCCTCCAAATCGATGGATCGTACATTTGCATCAAGAGACTTTTCAAAGATTTCAGATACAATTTCGCCTCTTGCTGGGGAGGCAATCAAATGCGAAAATATCCATATGCGCATTTCGGGGAGCGTAGGAATCATCGAGCTGGACCGTCCATCAAAATTGAACTCCTTGACAATGCAAATGATTCAGCAGATCACAACGTATATCCAAGTAACGTCTGCACCTACTTTCCTAGATCCTTCGAGATAGACCCTCATGTCGGGTTATTGTCATCAAGGCCCGGGCGGTGAATGAGGCCTCTCCCGTCTTTTGCGCCGGCGGCGATGTCATTGGTATCCCATTTGATGTACACTTTAGATGTCCTCAAAACACGCAAAAAGCATGGTGTTGATGAGGCCATGAAGTTTTTTCAACAGGAATATCGATTGAACCACTTGATTTCGCTAACCGGCCCCAAAATAGCCCCTGTTCTCAGCATAATCGATGGATTGACTCTTGGCGGCGGTGCCGGTCTTTCCATTAATGCGCCTTTTTGTGTTTCCACGGAAAGATCTGTGTTTGCAATGCCAGAGACTGCGATCGGATTTTACCCAGACGTTGGAGCAACCAACTTCCTTCCAAAATTAGATTGCGGCCTTGGTGTTTTCTTGGGTCTCACCGGCGAACGTCTTCATGGCCAGCAAATTTAGTAATCGCGTTTTGTTAACCCCGTTGTTAGTCATTGCGGATTGGCTACTCATTATATTCCTCATCACCGGATAGAAGACCTAATTGCTAGGCTTTCTGGGCTGGACGGTTCAGACCCCAACTTCAATTTGATTCTAAACGAGTTTTCGGGCTCCTACTTGCCCGAGACGACATTTAAAATTTCGGATAACTCTATAGACTCAAACCTTCCCTCAAGACGGTTTGTCGATTATGTGTATGTTTGTTAGCTTTTATTCGCAGATTCAACAAGAGCGATTGCTATGAAGACATAGCCTGCAAGCTAAAGAGGATTTCTCAGGAAGCAAAGGGACCCTCTGCTGTGTATTCCGAAAAAATCCTCACAAAACTTCAAACGATGTGTCCAAATTCGCTGAGAAAGACGGTAAAATTGCTTCGAGTTGGAGGTCAATTAGCATCGCTGGCCAAATGCTTGACAATGGAATTGGCAGCCACAAGATACTTCCTTTCTGGAGCTACGTTTGAGTTTGGCACCAAAGCTAAGCTGATCGATAAGCTCAAAAGGACCCCAGAATGGCCAATTGTGAACGATTCTGACGATCTAAATGAATTTCTGCGCGACCACAAAATGCTTGCTGGAGAGATCGTAGAGGATCACAGTCAGTACCATTCTTTTTTGCCCCATTACACTCTTCCAAGCGAGAAAGAGATTAGACGCCTCTTGATAAGACATAGCGGAGCCAAAGAGCTTGTCAAGCGAGAAATTCTCGACAAATATTCGCCTTATAAACTGGGTATTAGTGAGCATTTGGACTTGCTTTTTGAATATGTGGAAATGCAAAATAAATTATAATCCCAAAATTATTGGCAAAACACTACTAGGTTTGCCCTCTTTTTCTATCTTTTCTAATAAAATTGGGTTAGGATACTATTTTTTTTAAACTTGAGACTGGGTCAGTGGTTTAGTGGTATAATTCTCGCTTAGGGTGCGAGAGGTCCCGAGTTCGATTCTCGGCTGACCCCTTTTTTATTTTTTAAATGAAAATTTCCAATTGCGAGATTTGCGTGGAGGTCAATGTAAAGGCCTGGGCAATCGGAATTTGCTCGCATCTGATATGCTATAGATGCTCTCTTAGGTTGAGAGTCCTCTTTCAAATAATGGCTTGCCCGCTCTGTAAAGTTAGGCTTCAATTTGATTTATCAAGCTTAGAGGTCCTCAAATAATGTTTTGATTTTTGAAAGCCATGTTGAACAGGAGACAATTCCAAACTTTCTTTTAAAGTTGGTCTCAATCCCCGAAAGTGCTTCGAACTATATCTCTTTTGATCCGGAAAATCAATACAAGATTTATTTCGAAACGGAAAGGGTTAGGCGGACGTGTGAGGAGTTGATAAACCCACGATGTCCCATTTTTTCTTGCAACGTGGCTTTGACAAAAAGAACCGACTTTCCTGTACACTTGGAGCGGGTTCATGGAAAGTTCATTTGTACCATCTGCTTTGATAACCAGAAATTATTTTTTGAGGAGATCCCCCTATTTGAAAATCCGTTCACATTGCGTTCGCACATGAGAACAATTGAGGAAAAGAAAAGGCGGAAAGACAACATTCCCCAAACTTCTCCAATCGTGCAAATCCAGAAAAAGCTAATAGGGCATCCCGAATGCAAGTTTTGCAGTGTGCGCTTTTACTCTAACGATGAGCTTTACACCCATTGTAGGGATGCACACGAATCGTGCTTCATATGTATTTCAAATGAGATCAAGGACCAGTATTACAAGAATTATGAATCGCTGGTAAGTGCGGAAATTTTTACGTTTTCTTAGGAGCAACATTTCCACGATTCCCATTTTATGTGCAATGAAAAGCCTTGCCTTGAAAAAAAATTTGTTGTCTTTTCGACTGTGATTGATCTGAAGGGCCACATGGCCAACCAGCATCCAGAGCTTTATAGGGGCGGTCAAAGATCCCAGAATCGACATATACTCTCAATCGATTTGTCTAAAAAGGATTCGCCAGCTTCTTCAACACAGGAACCGAGCAGGGAGACCAGGAAAGACATTTCTACGCCATTTGTGCTATCTGAAGACTCTTTTCCATCGCTTGCCCCCATCAATTCGTCTATGCCTTTAATTTCGAAAAGGAAGCCGGCAGTGCTACATTCGAAAGAAAAATTGTTTCCCTCTCTCTCGTCTTTGAGGCCATCGGCTATGGGCCCCCCATCTGTTTCAGCATCTGCACCGAAAATATCCTTTCCGGAAAAGGTGCCGTTGTCAAAACCCTCAAGCTTGCCAGCCAGCCAAAGCTTGAAAAGACAAGAGTCGCGCGCAGAGGCCTTTCCCGAACTTCCAAAGCGGGAAAATACCGCACCGGCAGTTTCTACTCCTAATGGACCGCCACCCGGCCTTTCCTTTCCAAACAAGTCGGAAAAGGGGAAACTGCGAGTTTTGCGCCTGCCTTGATTGGCAATCGGCTGTTTTCGTAGATATTTGTCCTTAATTCAATAAACTATTTCGCGGCAAACTATTTCCAGGCAAACTGTTCGTCAACACCACTCCTTTAATGTGAAAGCTGTATTTCTGATCAGTAAAATTTAATTGGGCCTACTCAAACTGGCTGGAGAGCGTCAGTTTGATAAGGCGATCTGAGATCATGATCTCATCGACGAGAGCATGCTCAAGGGAATTGGTCTCTGTTTGCTTTGGTATCAAAATCGTATTCTTCAGAGACCGCTCAAAGTATGCAGCCTGGCTGACAAAAATCGACCCAGATGCCAAATCATCGTGGTAAATGGAGACCGTGTCGCTCTGTTTTAGTCCAGCCTTTTTACGGAGCTGCTGAATACGCGAAAGTATTTCTCTTGCGGCACCTTCTTGAAGAAGATCTTCAGAAAGCTCTGTGCAAAGCAGTGTGATGACCTGGCGGTTGGCAGAGGCGTTTTTCTGCTGCTCCCATTGCTCCGGAAGAGCAAGGACAGAGCGGGAAATCGAAACCTCGTCTTCGGACAAGATCCATCTATTGCCAACACATAGCCCTTTTGACTTGTCCAAGAAATATGCACGAAGATGGGAATCGCATACTTCTTCCCTAAGAGCCTTTTGGAGCGCATCTAGCTCGGTCTTCAAACGCCGGCCAAGCAGAGAAAAATTTGGGAGCGCCTTGTAGGCAATTTTGATACCCAGATGTTCAACATCCGTGTCCACCAGAATGCGGACATCGCGGACATTCAAGTCCACGGAAATGTAAGAAACCAGAGGCAACAATAGTGATTGCTGCTCGTGGGAGTTTGTAACGATGATCATTGAAGAAAGGGGGATTTTGAGCGAAATATTCTTTTGCTCCCTAATGGCTCTAGCTTGATCCATGGCCTCTTGGAAAAGTGAAAACCTCTCCTCTGTCAATTTGTCTTTCAAGAGAGTATTTACGCATGGAAAAGGCTGGAAATGGACAGAAAGCAGCGGGGGCGATGTTTTTTTCTCCTTTTCATTTGAAATAAACCCGGAGAGCTCTTGAAAGAGACTTTCAGCAACAAAAGGCGTGAATGGTGCCATGATAATGGTCAAAGAATAGAGCACATGGAACAGCGTGCCAAGAGCCTTGAGCTGGTCCTCTTTGTCTTCATCGTTCTTTGCACGCTTGCGCGAAAGACGTAAATACCAACTAGACAGCGAGGAAAGAAAGGTTAGCAGCTTTGGGACCACGGAATACAAATGGTAAGCATCCATTTCTTGACGCACCTCTTCAATCAGCGTTTGTAAGAGTGAAAGGATCCAACGATCCATGATATCATCCGAAAAAAGACTTGAAGACTGCCCTACAAATTCATCCGCATTGCCGACAAACTGGCCAACAATGGGGCGCGCAAACGTTGCGCTTATCAGGGAGGCCTGCTCTGTAAAGAACCGAGATGTATTGGTCCAGGGGATCAAAACATCCCTCAAAATTCCACGTACACCTTCCTCTTTGAACTTTAGAAACTCTGCACAWACAACGGGGGAGTTGATGAGATAAAGTCTTAGCGCATCAGCACCAAATTTCCCCATCACCACCTCGGGCTCTGGATAGTTTTTCAATCGCTTTGACATTTTTTTCCCATCAGCCGCTAAAATCAGGCCATTAACAATGACATTTCGAAATGGGGGTCTATCAAGCAAAAGTGTGCTTAATACAGAAAGGGTATAGAACCATCCGCGAGTCTGGTCAATCCCCTCGGCAATAAAATCAGCAGGAAATGATGAGGCGAACGTTCCCGGTGGTTGTTCCGGCGTACCAGCATTTGAAACTTCGCTGAAAGGATAATGTTGTGCGGCATAGGGAACTGAGCCAGATTCAAACCAGCAATCAAAGACCTCTTCAACTCTTCTTAATGGAGGGCGTCCGTTTGGATCGATTTGGGAGGGAATTTCGATGTGATCAATGCTTTCACGGTGTAGATCTGTGATCGAATCGCTTCGGATACCGGCAAGGCGAGCTAACTCTTCGATGCTTCCAATAACAATGGTTTCCTTTCCATCAGCAGAGCGCCAAACCGGAATAGGGGTGCCCCAGTATCGATTTCGCGATACAGCCCAGTCGTGAGCGGCAGCCAGCCAATGGGTGAACTTTTTCTCCCCAACATTTGCGGGAACCCATCGAGTCTTGGCTTGGTTTTCCAAAAGTTTGGGAATGTGATCGGTAACCCGTATGAACCAAGAGGGTACCGCTTTGAACATCAAAGGTGTGTCTGAGCGCCAACAAAATGGATACGAGTGCTTGTGTTGAGTTTGGCGTACTATGCGGTCTTTGGCTTTGAGCAGCTTGATAATTTCCTTATCAGCATCTTTGAAATACGAGCCTGGAATTGAAGTTCCCTCGAAAAAGCCTGCTTCAAAATGGCCCTTTTCATCAATGGTAGATGGGACAGCCTCGTTCTCTGAGATGATCTTATTGGCCAGCGATACCCGATGATCGTCCTCCCCAAAGGCAGGGGCGCAATGTACAAGACCAGTTCCAGCATCTGCAGTTACGAACGGATCCGTAATGACAACAAAGTTTCCGTGGGAGGCTCTTCGCGATTCGAATATCGGAAACGGCTGCTGATAGGACAATCCCTTCAGCTCGCATCCCTTGAACGATGAAATTCTTTTGAACGATTCGGAAGTATCAGATACATCTTTGTAAATGGAGCTTAACAGAGCATCTGCAAGAATAAACTTTTTTGATGTCTCTGTATCCAGGACCTCGACGTAGAGAAGATCTGGATTGGCAATAACCGCCAAGTTAGAAGGTAACGTCCATGGAGTGGTGGTCCATACCAAAAGACTTGTTTCCGGGCGGTCGACAAGCGGAAGAGACACAATGACAGTGGGATCGACAATGTCCTTGTAATTCAAGTTGGCCTCGAAATTTGACAGGGGCGAAGTGCAGGCAGTGGAGTATGGCAACACCTACAATAAAAGTCGAAACAAACCTTGTGTCCCTGATAAACCAGATCTTTATTCCACAGAGATTTGAACACCCACCAAACACTCTCCATGAACGAAGGATACATGGTCTTATAGTCATTTTTGAAATCAATCCAACGACCGGTACGGCGCACGGTGCTTTCCCACTCTGAAGTGTAACGGGTGACAATCTCTCGACAGGCCTGGTTATAGATGGCAATTCCACCAAGCTTCTCAATATCGGCCTTGCAGGTAATGTTTAATTTCTTGTCAATTTCGTGCTCCACAGGAAGACCGTGGCAGTCCCATCCAAACCGACGGGGTACCTTGTATCCGTTCTGATATGCATATCTACAAACGACATCCTTAATGGTTCCAGCAAGTATGTGTCCATAGTGAGGAAGACCGGTAGCAAATGGAGGTCCGTCATAAAACGTCCAAAGAGGCCTATCTTTAGATAGTTCTTTTGAAAGATTAAAGGCATCAATGGAGTCCCAGAATTGGAGTATTTTTTCTTCCTCCGAAGAAAAGTCACACCGATCGGTAGATGTGGAGCCACTAGCAGAACATTGAGGATCTGCTTCTTGAAGCATTATGAATTACTAGGCGCTCACACGCAAATTTAGTTTGTAAATTTACTCAAAATTTAAATTAACAAATATCCATCTCCATTTCCACCGTGATCGCCATCGCCACCTGGATCCCCATTTCCACGTCCATCGCCATTCAGTTGTCTGTTAGCTGTCAAGAAATCGACGGAAGCGATAGAAAATTGATTCAATGCTGTCTAATGCAGGCCTAACACATACATTCATAGTTGGAGAGCCGGATTGGTCAACTCCGTTTTCGTAGTAGTCAATAACATATCTAACTTTTTTTCCGCAGCGCTCAATCACCCAATCGTGTCTATCAAACGGCTTATCGGCGCCTAGGAATTTGTGGGCAAACCAGGCCTTTGGAGACAGCTTTTGAGGCCGCCCTTGAAAGCTTTTTAGCAGCGGTTGGCATCTGCCAGTAGCGTTGGGTTGCATAAAGTTTTCCCACTCCAAAATGTGTTTCCAGACCCCCTCGTTTAATTGATTGTGAATAAATAACATGCTGTCAATATCTTGTGGATCTGTGGCGTAGCCTTTCCTTAAAAGAGCATGATAAAACATTCGGGGAGATGGATACTTCCATGTTTCATCAACATGTCCAGGTGCAGTTACTTTGGGGATCGTGCTTGATTCCCTCTCTGTGGATAGGCCTTTTGAGAGCGGAGATGAAATCCCGTCAATTGAAGTTGCGTTCAAGATTTCGGGATGTGGCATCAATGTGCACGGATTAATATTTGACTTTTTTTCCCGGTATGGACATTCATTGTGTGCATCCAAAGAAGAGGAATGCGATGAACAGGCTTCTGAAGCTTCCATAAATTTATAACAAGAAAAGGTTGCAAATAAAAGTTTGTTGGGTGAATTTGAGAGTCCCCTTAACCCTCCAACGGAATTAAAATTTAACCAAATTGAATGCGAGTCGCACCAACGTTCCTTACCGATATCAAGCAGCCAAGGTGGTGCACATAGTTGCAAATAACAAGAGTGCGATTACAGCTCAAACATGGCGTAAAGTTGTGGATGTTATATTCCAGTGTGGTGTATTAGCATATCCAGCATGATGAGCCTTTAAAAGCAATGCCCTGTGCAAATTCAGTCGACAACTCACCAATTTGAAATTTCTTTTGCACAGCAATAGCTGCTAGCGGAATTCTTTTGTATTGATATCTGCCGTACTTTGACATAAAATTGTGAATATTGCACATAATAGAACCCCCAAGAATACTAATGATGCGGAAAGCCATTTTCATGCGGCAGTTACCACTTCAAACCATCCGAGTTTTCAATTGTCTCCAAATGCCACAACTGAGCCTCTAATAAAAACAAGTTACAATAAAATTTGCGTTCTTTTTGATAAAGCTGGAATCTCGAGCTATTTCAATAGGTATCGGATCAACTATTTTATCTATCAAAAAGATATTCTCATTAGTGCACAAGTAGACTTTTTTGGAAGCCTTTCAAGCAAACCCCTTGCACTTTTGACCAAACACACCGATCTTTCAGACTCCGTAAATTCCTTTATTAGAAGGGCTTACGAGCTCAGAAAAAGCCCAGAATTGATTGAGGCATTTACAGATTTTCTTGCATCTGCGAAACACTTGCATTCGGAGCACATTTATAATGGCAACCGGGCGCTCGCAAATATCTTTGTCATCAAAGCACCAGATGAACCCTGAAAGCTCTAGCTTGTCTATTCTAAGGGCCTTGAAGTTACTTTTAATAATATGAATTTTCTCAGTCCGGATTTTATATTGTCGGGAAGCCTTGTGTTAGACTTCCCGACAGTAGGTTTCTTATTATTTAGTCTGATTTGATGTACATAAGGTTATCCTTGCTGTTGAAGGGACTTTCGAAGCATCTAATTGAATGGTTTTCGAGGTCAAGGAACACTTATTTGAGAAAGGCAAACCAAGGTTCTCTTGGAAAGACTCCTATGTGTTGCTTAAAATAACATTCATTGCAACCAGAAAGCCTGCCTTGCGGCTAAAAACAGCGGCTACTTATGAGAAAAAGGTGTACTACTTGTCTACATGCACGGTTCCAGATTTAATATTAAATTTCAAGATTAGTCTTGCGCTCCTGGGAGGCCCCTTACATCAAGTGGCTCGTCTACGTTTGCACTAACTCTTACGGCTAGCGTAGGGATTCAACCAAATCCAACCCAATTTGCTAGCTTTCTTCAAATTTATTTAAGACCTCATATCAATCTCTTGGTGCGCAATGTCCTTCCCAATCTCTTAACCTGCCAGGATGCAACGCCAGTAAGCACCAAGATTTGGGCAATTGTCCACCATACAACCTGTCCGTTTACATATTCTGAGAGCGATCTGAATTCAGCTTCTCTTTCTCTATGTAAATACTGTTCCCTTCTTATTTCAGAGACAAGAGTATTCAGCTGAGAAACTGTTTGCGCGAGACCGGCAACCTTTGCTTCAATTGGGGAGACAATAGAAGGCTCTCCTGGATCGCCAATAAACACCTCAAATGTCATTTTAATTGAGCCCTGCATGTTGGAGCTGCCTGATGATCCCTGGCTCCACCAACCATTTTGCGATCCCAAGGTAGGATTATTGGAGGAAAGACAGATAATATGTTCAGAGTGTTCCCCAGATGTAAAAAAGAAACGATCGCTTGAGGAGCCCGTTTGCTTGAGCAGATTTTCCCTTTCGCTATCGACAATAATGCTTACACTGGATAATGGATCGTCTGTGTATTTGTTCGTGTAGGGATTGTAAACTTGGGTTGAATAAACACCTAAATTAATATGTAAGGAAGGCTACTTAACCTAAAAATACCGTATGGCGAGGAAGATGCTCAATGAAACACCTTTTCTGATTTGGCTCGAGGTAAAAATGTATTCCCCGGCAAGAATTGACAAAAAGGCCGCAGCAAATGGCCAAATATAACAGGAGCATATTTGAAAAAATGATAAAAATCAATTGATGGGATGATTGTAGTGCTAGGCTTTAAAATTAAAAACCAGTTACAAGAGTACAACGAAATAATTTATTTAAAGCAGCGCCGCTTAAGCGCGTACCGGCTCTTATAATGTTGGTATCAATTTCAGAAATGGAAACGTAGGGAAAATATTCAACATTTGAAATGCCTTTTTATCACCAGAAAATTCAGTAAAATGGCGTTATCAGAAATAAGAGCCATATGGGTTGATTATCAAATGTTATTTTTAAAAGAACTTATATAACAAGCTAGGTGCATTACTCAGCCCGGATAGCTCAGTCGGTAGAGCGTGAGGCTTTTAACCTTAAGGCCGAGGGTTCGAGACCCTCTTCGGGCGACTTTTTTGTTTTTTTATTTAATTCGCATCATGAGTCAATTTAACGATGTATGGCAACATTTGATGCCCTACTTCAACTCTTTGTTTGTCCATTGTGACGGTACTGCGCCTCCTGACTTTCAGATACTTTTTGATTTATATTCGTAACCTTCTAATTTTGACTGTAGCCTTGTTTTTAATTACTGCACCGGTGTTAGCAATTCTTTTGTTTCTAATCCATCTTCACAAGCGTCAGGTTGGCTTTTCCTTTTTATTTCTAGCGATCATATTGGGCCAAGATATATATCAGGCCTATCAAAAATGGCTTGAAACCGCCCTATCAGACTTTTTGGCAACCACATTTAAGCGAGAATTAAATACCAATCTGTCGCTCGAGGTGTACTGCAAGTACTGGAATATTTTCGAAGACTTTTCTGAAAAATCATCGTTCATTCTTTCCTATTTGGATCGGTACTGGATTCCCTTTAAGCGGACAGAAAAGTACAATGACCCGGTCTATCCAATTGAAGAAGTAACATAGAACGTTTATTTTTAGCTAAACATGATAGCATGGTATGAAACGATCCTCATTCCTCTCCACGATGTTTTGCTTGAAAATGTGCTGGAAATAATTTCCTGCAAAACCTCAACCTCTGATCTTGGGTTTCTAAAAATATTCACATCATCCATAAGTATGGTTTTCTTCTGAGCTTTAGAGAAAGTCAGCGACTCGATTACAAAATTCTCCGAGCCTGTTTATCATAGATTGCTCCAGCAAGATCTTTTTAACTATTTGAGAGCCATATATTCGAGCCTTGTTTCCGAGAAAAAAACCGAGCTTGACCTGACGTCCTTCATTAGTTGGCTCCATCACAAAATCAATGAAGAGATTCGATTTTGCCGTTCAAATTTTATTGGAGTCGATTTTGTGCTATTTGAGTCGATGACTTTCTC